CGCGGTAGCGACCAATGAGCGCGCTCGCCGTCTCCGGGAGCCGGGCCGGCTCTGCCCGCCTGGCATTGGGCACGCGGTGGGCAGCGGCGGGCGGGGCCTGGGGGGTCCTCGCGCCTGGTTGGGCCAGGCTTGTTGCTGGGTAACGGGGCGGCGAGTTTCCCCTGGCAACGGCGGCGGGTACCGCTCACTGGCTGGCCGGGAAGGAGGGGGGGCGCGGCGCAGGCAGGCCCCGCAGACCCCAGCAACAGCGCGCTGCCCCCGCCCCGCCAGGGAGCGGTAACCTTCACACGCGCCGGCCTCTCGGACCCCGCGGACGCCGGCGCCCCCCGCCCAGCCCCCACCGGCTCCGGTCCAGCCTCCGGGCTACACAGCGGGGGGGTGGGGGGAAGATGCAGGAGACCCCCCTCCCCCGCCCGCGGAAAGCCAGGGACCCAGGCCCTGCAGTGAAAAGTTAAGTCCTTCCCAACTCCCTTCTCGCCGCGCCCAGAAATCCACTTTTTCCAGAACGGCCTGCAGGAGCCGGGGAGGGGCGCGGGCCTGCAGGGAAGTAGCTGGGACACTTATTTCTCTAACTAGCACTTGGCACGGAGGCCGCTCCCGCCAGGGCACCGCTCCCCGTGCCTTACACAGACGCCCTCATTTCCCCTTCACATTTCATGTTGGGTCCTATGGTGACCTCCTTTGCACAGATGGAGAAACTGAGGCACAGAGAGGGGAAGCGACTTGCTCAAGACCAGCATTTTGAACGCCCAGTATGGTCGCTTCATCACTTCGCTGTGGGGTGCATCCCTTTGAGAGGCGCTACTATTCAAAATGAGAAGCTGTGCACTTCAAGCGAAACCCACCCGTGGCTGGCCCTCGGGCCACTGGTTTGAAACCCCCGCCCCAACCTAAGGGCCATAGTTTAAAGTCCTTGTTTAGATGCTCAGAGAGTCAGGAGAGCCCCTCTCTGGTAGTAGGGATGCTGGGTAACGTGTATGAAGCACCCACTAGGCCCTAGTGCTTTATTTTTATTGACCTCCTCACTGTAAAATCCCCTGAGATAGGGCCCTTTGTTGTCCCAATTCACAGATGAGGAAGTTGAGGCACGGAGACATGGCCACTTGCCCAAGGTTGCACAGCCAGCAGATGGCAGAGCTGGGAATTCTAACTCAGACCATAGACTCAGAAGCCTCCTTGGTGAGCTCAGCCTGTCGGCTGCGGGGGATGGGCCACAGCTGTGGGCCTGGTCCCGGAAGATAGTGTATCATCATTTGGAACAGTATCTGAACTAAATAGTGGGAAGGATCTTGACTGGTGACACTGTTTATGTGACTCCTGGCCTTTTCCTGTCCCCCCCCCCCCCGCCCCCTACCCCACCCAGTCAGATTCCTCCAGTTCTTCACACTCATTTTCTGCTCAGAAAATCATTCCAGCACATTTGGCCTACTGGTGTTTAGTCTTAGACTGGGCAGCTTGAGGGCACTGACCAGTGAGTGAGGGGGTACTGCCCGGACCGTGAGCTAGCCCAAGGCTGTGAGGCCTGCCTCTCTCTTAACTTCATCACTGCCAGGCACAGAGCAAACACAATACCCAGTTGCACGAGTGATAAATGCTAACATTTATTAGGCGCCTACTACATGTCAGACACTGCATTCAATGACTTCCATGCATGATCTCAGGGGTTGAGCATTGACCTAGGAACCAGGAGGTCACAGTTTGGTTCCTGGTCAGGGCACATGCCAGGGTTGCAGGCCCCATGCAGGAGGCAACCCATCAATGATTCTCTTTCATCATTGATGTTTCTATCTCTCTCTCCCTCTCCCTTCCTCTCTGAAGTCAATAAAAATATATTTTAAATAAATACATAAAGCTGCATTTCTCAAATGCCTTTAAACGCATTCTTTAAAGTCAAAAATACACTTTCTTTGTGTTCTCTTTCGCAAAACAATATTTTCCTTTGACTTCATGATTTTTTTTTTTTAATGACACTCTATTTCGTATTGTTTTCAGTCTGGTCAAGAGCTATTCAAGTTGCAGGTAGAAGGAACTGACTATTAAAGAGCACAGGGAAGGCCGAACCGGTTTGGCTCAGTGGATAGAGCGTCGGCCTGCGGACTGAAGGGTCCCGGGTTCGATTCCAGTCAGGGGCATGTACCTCGGTTGCGGGCACATCCCCAGTGGTGGATGTGCGGGAGGCGGCTGATCGATGTTTCTAACTCTCTATCCCTCTCCCTTCCTCTCTGTAAAAAATCAATAAAATATATTTTTTTAAAAAATAAAAAAATAAAAAAAATAAAGAGCACAGGGAAGTATTTGGGGGGATAGAAATGTTCTGAGTCTTGATTGAGGTGGTATACAAGAGTGTACATTTTCCACGCCTCACCAACTGTCCTCTGAAAAGGTGAATTTTATTGTGTGTACATATATCTCAATAAACTTGAATAAAAACAATAGGATCCACGAAAGTGATTTCACAACCCACGGTTTGCTCTTGACCCACAGTTTGAAGGAAGGGGGGATGAATGCATGAATGAATGAATGGGGCAAGGGAAGGAAGGAGGGAGGTCGAACCAGTCCCCCAAATCTAAAGTCGGGAGAGTTCCAGTGAGGTCTGCACGTCCTGCGTCTCTTGGGAATTTGTAGGATCCGGCTCTGGTGGAAGCGAGTGGGAGCACCTGAGCAAGCCCACCATTGCTCCGGACGGGCACCTCTTCTTGGCCTGCTCAGCGCTGGGCGCTCAGAGGCAACTCACCCTGTGCTGACGTGGTTCGGGTAGGGGTGTGGCAGGGAGGGAATGGAGAGTTCGGGGGAGACAAAGTCCAGGGCCCTGGGGGAAGAAAGGACAGGGATGAGGCAGCCAGGCTGGGTGGGAGTGACCATGGGCAACTGAGAAGGAAAAGGGAACTGAAACCCACAAGACGGGGTGAGAGTCGGTGCAGGGGCTGCCCGGGCATGTTCGCGCCAGGTGCCTGGGGTTCCGTCTGGCCCTGGGTTCCCTGCCAGATCGGTGGCAAGTGCGCCTGCTCCAGAGAGTGAGCCAGTGAGCAGCCACTTGTCACAGGTTGTGATTGTGACTGTGTGTTGGAGGCCAGTTAGTGTCTTTTTAAAATATATATATTTTTTATTGATTTCAGAGAGGAAGGGAGAGGGAGAGAGAGAGAGAGAGTCACATCAATGCTGAGAGAGAATCATTGGACGGGAATGGAGCCTGCAACCCGGGCATGTGCCCTGACCAGAATCCAGCCATGACCTCCTGGTTCATAGGTCACGCTCCACCACTGAGCCACACTGGCCGGGCATGGCCAATTTCTTTATGTCTGACTTGATCTATGTCTGTGAGGGTCAACCTTTTTTAAAAAATATATTTTTTTTTATTGATTTCAGAGAGGAAGGAAGAGGGAGAGGAGAGAGAGTCACAATCAATGATGAGAGAGAATCATTTGATCGGCTGCCTTCCTGCACGCCCCACACTGGGGATCGGGGCACAACCCGGGGCACGTGCCCTTGGGCCGGGAGAATGGGAACCAGATCCCGGAGGCCCGTCGCTCTAGTCCACCTGAGCCACACCAA